GCTAGAGTTGGTGTATATTTCTTTGAAGTCTGGTCAACTTCTCTGCATGATTCAGATCTCTTTTGCTTGCTTAAGTTGATTGTATTTAATTTGGGGTGGTGGTATAAGCATCTATCTTTGGAGAAGAGAGGTTGATGATCTTGGTAGCTGAGCACTGAGAACCGTTGCATGGGGGGGAAAGTTCTGGTATTGTTGAAGTTAAGATCCGAAATACATCTACTACCAAAGCAAGTTGTGGTTGCCAACCTGAAGAAGATGCCTGGACGTCTCCTAGAATTATGGCTAATTTCCAGTCTGCAGAGTTCATTTCCTCTGGAGAAAATGGTAGCTTTGGAGGGTGAACTCTATAGCATCACATCTCCACCCATCTCCCTTCCCAGACTTTGCCCTTCTCATGCATTGCTCTCAAATCTCCAGGAATTTTCCAAGTCAGAGTTCACAAACCTAAGTAAGGTCCTAAGTAAGAGCCAGTTTGGTGTAGTGGTTAAGTGCGCGGACTCTCTTGGGTAGTGAAAGGCGGGGTATAAATCCAATCTCTTCTCTTCTTCTTATTGCCAGACAAATATGGACTGGTATTGGGCTGAGGAAGAGCAGTTAAATTTCTTTGCTTCATCCATGCTACAAACCTACTGAGACCAAACAGGTTTCATTATCACACTTCTCAAAGGAAGCACAAGAACAGTAGGTGAATCAAGTTCCTCCAGAATCCTCTCAAATTTAATCCGAGATTCCTTGAGGAAAAGAAAAATGGTTAGTAAGTATGCTACAAAGCCAAATTAAATGGGATAGTCATCATATCTTTCTTTAGCAGCCACTAGACCCCCTGACCTGGCTTGGGATAACAGCACAGGTGATTTAACTCATGACATTTTCAGTGCATGTTGATCTCCTGGAGCCTTTGATTTGAAAAACAACACAAGTAGATACAAGGTGGAAGAGAATCAAAATTTGACTGGAACAGGTGTTATAATTTATTTCTATAATAAAAATGGATCAATAAAGTATGTAGTGATTTTAATAGTTGACAATTTCAGAGATGAAAGTCTATTGGAAATAAGATGTGTTTTAATCAGTTTAATGTGTGTTTTAAAATGCCATGCTACCCTCTGATGCTGTAGTCATATATAAAAACAGTATGTCCAATTGTCCATAAAACTGCAGCAAGAAAACATCAGAAACTTCAGTCATGCTGGACTCTGAATTAATGAGTACTAGCATTCAACAGGACAGTTTGTTTATAAAATGGGAACATGACTAATATTTAGCATATAGCTATATCCCATCTGTTGTTAGCAAAGATTTACCACTTTCACTACTATGTTTCACAGAAGATCTTGTGGTTTGTATGACAACCCTTCCATTCTTTTTTGTTTCTGTTTTAAAGCAATGCCTTCTGTTGTTTGTGCTGCTAAATGTCATGGATTAAAATACTTAAAACTTTCTGCATACCTTTCCCTGAAACCAAGAATGAATCAACCACCTCTTCATCAACACATCCTTCTATCACAAACATTGGTAAAGCCAAAGCTGCTGGAGAGGGGGAAACATGATTCTCTGCCAACCTAATCTTTGTGACTGGGCATAAGTGATTACTCTATGAAAGGCTAGAAAGGATTTCCCCCCAGGACAAATATTACTGTGTTTTTATTTGTTTGCATTCCCTGCAGAGTATGGCTTAGTCTTCTTGAAGGAGTTATATAGAACGATTGCACATCTTGCAGACTTGCTTATTATGGCACACTGCAGCCTGGTTTGTACATGTAGTCCAGAGGAATGGTTTGCTTTTTCCTCATTTTTCATGATTTAATTCCATTGCATGTGACTTCTGTAGGACACATAAACATGACTTGTAATTGCATGACATACAGACAGACCATTCCACTGATTGACCATCCCACTGATGTGTTGACTGAAATCAAATTTGATAGGTTGGAGCCCAGTGTCTGATAAGTTTCAAAATTTTGAAAGAAAAACTTGAACCACCTGAGACATCAACAGGAAATAAAACATTTTTATTGAATATCTGTGTAGTATGTATGTTTTATTTTAACAACACCTGGAAAACTCTACTGTGGGGTTCACTACACAAAAGTGAAACAAAATATAAACCACCTCATCAAAACTGAATTTAAAATACAGCTAAACTTGTCAGCTCGCGGGCCACGAGCAATATGGCAGGATAGAACACCCCAAACGTTTCTACAAGTTACAGAGAAAACCCACACATAGAAACACTCAATCAGGCAGTAAATATACACAAAGGCAACTAGGATCTTTCTACAGCATCAGATTCTAATACTTTACACAGCTTTGTCAGAAAGGTACAAGTGGCTTCTTTGAGGATGAAAATGTCATCTTGGTCAAAAAGCAGGTCTGCTCTCTGCTGAGAACTATAGGACATTACCAACCAATTCTGTGGTGACATTCACTCTGGCAGTGTAGAAAGAGAATGCATTAAGAATACCTTAACACAATGAACCAGTTCTGGCAGTCTGAGCCTGTAAATTTCAACATTTTTTAAAATCCCTGCTATGATGAACAATGTAAAGGAAGTTATAGTGGAGCAAAAGCTCTCTCTTCTTACTTGCAGCACAATTCTATGCCAACTTACTCCATTTCATTTCACTGGGTTCCGGCTGGAGAAATGTGGCACAGGACTGCATTGTTAGCTTTCCTCTTTGGTGGGATTTGGTCCTTTAAAATTTAAGATTATAAAAGTGTTTCTGTTGGACTTTTCCTATGTACATCTCAGCTTATCTGACTCGACTGTGCCTTTTCTGTTTCATATAGAAAATCTAGAGACTCTCAGAATGATAGATGTTGCTGCCCCTGTTTTCTGGGAAGCTAAGTAGGATATGTTGTCACAAACTCCATTTGTGGCTTCTTGTTCAATTCTCTTTTTAAGGGTTAAACTCCCCTTCTTAAGGGTATGTTTTGGTCACACAAACCCAAAGGCAGGAGGGGGTGGTGGATTTTATCATCAAAAGTTATTGGTGACATCTTTTTTTAATGCATCAAAAAGTTATGTTCTAGGGAAAATCCCGCACTTTCCACCCAAGGGTGCTTCTTTAGGACACCTTTTAGTGCTGGGTGATGCCAAAAAAGAGAGGGGGGGGGGAGAGAGATAAACAAGTACATCAAAATATTTAAATGTATTTACAGTATGGTTAATAAATAAATACGTGGGAGTAGTTTCTAAAGAAGAGACCAGAATTAAAAAGTAGTGCCTACGACGTGACACAACGAAACAGTGTCATTGGAGATGATAGACTGTAGGACAGTCATATACCATCTAAAATGGGGGAAAGGGAATACGTGGAATATTGCACAGTGTTGACAAATGCTGTGTGGTCAATCCAGTCTGTATGATGCCCTAGTCCTATGCATAGCTCTTCAGTTCTGAATTGGTCCATAGTTATGAGAACTGTTTGTGCTATGCACTCCTTCGGCAGTGCAGTAGAAGGGAATGGCAGTTGTTTTTTTTTACAATATCACTACAGAATAAATTGATTGCTATCCACTGAGAGAACTACAGTTTCTAAGCACACACGGCAGTCACAGTGATACACAGAGCTGTCTTTTAAGACGCTTATGGAATGACCAATAGCTTCATAATAGTGCCATTTACTACATAGTAACATTGAAAACATTTAAAAACTCCTCCTGAAACGAGCATCTAGTGTACATAAGAGGTTGCTTCAGTTTGCTAGAACTTGTTCTTTGTTTTGTTTCACTTTTTTTAAAGGACAAATTAAAACTTATTAAGTATAAATAGTATATAAAAGGTCACTAGCTGTTATCTTTTGGCTTGCTTTGAAGTGCATTCAGAAATATGGCTAAATTTTTGTAATCTTTTGATGGGAGTTTACAATACTGTCTTGTCACCATGAAACTACTTTTGTATAATAAACACACACGGCTGTGATTTTTGTTTTAAAAAATATTCTGCATTCCTTCTCATCTGGCTTAGTATAATAAAATATTTCGTTACAAAGTCTAATGTGCAAACTCATTAGAATTAGAGAATGTGAAATCACAAATGGGATTCACAGTATGCAAATTTTGTATAAAGGTGATAACGGAGAGCTACTGGGTTTTAGGTATGTGATTGCCATGGTTAGGTGTAGGGGTTTGCTACTACTGCATCCCCCATCACCACTGTGGTTAACAGCCCCCGCCCCCCCAATTTATATGTTCCATGTGAAATCAGTCATGCTCCTTTTCGCTGCAAGGAATTGAACCCCTCAACTGCTAAGTGTAAAGCCATGCTTTCAGTTTGTATATAAGTATATATATACAGGGGGAAAAAAGGTGTACTGGCTTTTGGCTACGCTTCCTTGAGGTCAGCCATGGAGCTGCTCAGATCATGCTAAGTTGCCCACGAGAATAGTCTATCAATGGGATTTGCTCCTTCAAGGAGCACCGTGTGAGCATATCTTGATATTTTAATGGTTCACTTGAACTCTCAGATTTAAGTTGTCCTTTAAGATGTCAGTGTAACACTACTAGTGCCTTACAAGTTGGAATTTTTGCTGGAATGCAGACGATACGATAATTACCCTATAATATATTATCAGCTCTCCTATATCTCAGTCAATTTACATAATTTAAAATAGAACATCTTATTAAAAACATCTAGATATACACAGATTAGGAAACGCTTACAACATACAAATAAACAGACTAGAAATAAATTTCTTTTTAGCATACTGGTATGTACAACTGTGTGATACAATAAATAATTTCTGTCATGCTCTATCTACACATATTGCTTAAAAGAAGAGTAGATCTGAGGGCAGTGGTGAGATGGAGGGCCTTGTAGGGCTTTCTACATTTAAAACTGTGCAAATTAAAACAAGATTTGAAGTACCACTTATCTGTGTTAGGGATGCATGGCTGGAAAGAAAAGGACCCATATTACTGAGGTATTTACAGATACTGGCTAAAGAGCACTATATGGGCAAATGCAGAAAGGCTTCGTCTCTCATTTTCTTTTCCTTCTACTTCTTGACTGCAAGCATAGCGTCTACCTCTTCCTCTTGTTGTAAGGTGTGCCACTGTGCAATGGGTCGCCTTGGGTTGGCCAACATGTCTGACCAATGTCGCAGCTCTGCACCAGTGCTGTTGTAGCCCACAAACACTTTGCCAATGGCATCATTCTTGCCAATCTTGTCATAGTCCAAAACAGTCACAACAACTTGCACTTTCTAAAACAGGAAGAGAAAAAGAGAAAATCAAAAGACAAAACAGGTGAATTTCACCATCAGTCCCAGAGGTGGCCAGGATGGCCAGTATGACCATGATGTAGCAAGTAGGGATGGGCACAAACCCATAAATGAACCCCAGTTTGAGCACGAGCCAGGCTAGCATTGGAGCCCACTACCAGCCCGTGGCCCGATCCAATTGAACTCGGAAGGCATTTAAATGCCTTCAGGGCCCACCTCCATGTCACACCAGCCTGACTGAGCTCTCAGAGTGAGTTCTGAAGACCTTCATAGAAGCCCACTTCTGGGTGGGGGAAAGTGGGCTCTGAAAGCCTATAAAAGCCTTCAGAGCCCACTCTGGGAGATCAGTTGGGCCGACCCAACCCAGAGGTGGGCTCCAAAGGCATTTAAATGCCTTCAGAGCTCATTTCCGGGTGGGGCTGCAGCCATGCCCCAAACCGAAAATGAGCACCAAAGGCATTTAAATGCCTTTTGTCTGCAGCCAATGCATCATAGCAGTGATGAAAGCAACATGGAGAATATTCATAGTGTGAAAGCACCCTTCCACATGAAGTTCTTTGTTAACTATGTACTGAAAAATATATTTAGTGGCTTATTTCTGCTGTTGGAAAGAAGCGGATACCTTTGTAGCAGTTGTAAAGACTAAATCATGAGCAGATGAAAGTTTTTGGCCCCTAATATGTAGATATTCATTTTGCGACCTTGTGTGTTTTCTTAATTACACATAGGATAAATGTTTCAGGCTGGGTTGAATTAGATGTCTAGTCTTAAAAACTCTCATATGTTAAGATGAATATGTCTCTGTTCACTTGACATTCCCCATGTTATTAAAAATAGTCATGGTTTGATCATTACCCAGCAAGGGGAAAAAAATCCACTAATGTGAGTCAGTGATCATTATAATACATAGTTTGATTTCGTTTACCATTGCCTATGTGCAATCAAGTTGCATGTCCTGATGAAGCAGCCAGTCTCCCAAGTGGAAGCTGTTGCACTCTAATCAAGGCTTTGATTCCCAGGGATCCCCTCACACCAGGCCTCGTGTTTGCAGGACAATAACCTTAAATTCCACTTCACTCAAGAAAGCCCCCTACAGTGCAGACACACCTGGTAATATAATCAAGTCATTTATCAAGCGTATAATCTCATCTCCAGCCTTATTAGCATCCCCATCAGAGTAACATCATTACCCTGAATTTCACTTTCTGTCACTGTCAATTTCAGTTTCCTGGCACTGTATTTAAGCAGCTCATCTGAGATGTTATTTTAGATAGGGAAGTGCGCTCAGATATAGCTGATCCAAATATATACTTGAAAAAACCCTTATTGGTTTTTTTGGGGTATATACAGTCCATATGGATCTGAATACACAATGGAGAATCATTGGCAAAGCTGGTAAACCTGCTCCCAAATATATTGTGTGTATTGGGATATATTCAGGAATATCCGGAGACAGCAGTTACAGCAATCCAAAGTTGTCCCCCCCCCCTTTGAAGGTTTCCCAGGCAACAGGAAGAAAGGGGGAAGGAGGTAGTTACAGGCCAATGGAATTGCATGTTATGGGGAAATATACTCTTTGCCCAATCACAGCAATTCTCTTACAGGCTACTTTTGCTTCAGATCTGGAGTCCAGCAACCTGCCCCCCCCCCCCCCCCCTTTGCAGGTTTCCCAGGGAACAAAGGGAGGGGGAAGGAGGTAGTTGTCATGGGTGAATGGGAGCTCAAGTTATGGGGAGCCATTCTCTTTGCCCAATCACAGCAATTGTCTCATATGCTAGTTTTGCTTCAAATTCTCTGACCATGGGCAAAGAGCATAAAAGCAGGCCCTGGCTGCAGCTAGACACCATTACAGTGAAAGATTTCTGGACTGTGAGCTTCTGCTGCTCTGGAGGTCTGCTACCACCGGTGGATTCTGGAACCTTGAGGATATTTCTCTGCCTGCCTGCCCGCCCGCCCGCCTGCCCACCCGCCTGCATGCCTGAAGAAGACCATCACCTGGTTTGAGAACATATTTCAAGTTTTCTTACTTTTCTGTGGTGTTTTTGGGGGGCCTGGTGGTGGGTAGTGTGTTAGTGGGGAAGGCCTAAGGCCCTTGGTTTCTTGCTGTTGCATTGCATTTATGCTGTATTTTGGATTTTCACATTTTTTGGGGCCTGTGTGTGTGTGGTAGGGTTGCCAGGTCTGGGTTGGAAAATACCTGGAAACCTTGGGGGTGGATCCAGGAGAGGGCGGGGTTTAGGGAGGGGAGGGGCCTCAGCATGGTACTATGCCATAGAGTCCACCCTTCAAAGCAGCCATTTTCTCCAGGGGAGCTGATCTCCGTCAGCTGGAGATAAGTTGTAAAAGTGGGACATCTCCAGGTCCCACCTGGAGGCTGGCAACCCTAGTGTGTGGCTCTCCTTATTTATTTTTAAAGTTAGTTTTCTCTGCCCCCCCTTTACCATTCAGGTTTTGTGGGGGGGGGGTCCGGTTGTGGGTCACGAAGAGTCAGGCTCAGCTGTGTGACTGAACAACAACAACTGGTTGGGGGAGTTTTGCTTGCTTAGTTTATTTTCTGGTTCTTTTACACAGTATTTTTCTTTGGCTTTACTTTCTGCTGTTTTTGTTAATAGGCTTGTGCTCTGTTCCGTTGCTTTTGTGGTGGGGAAGGGACTTGGGATCTGTCCTTTTTTCTGCACTTTTTCACTTGAATTTTTAGAGGGTTAGTTGGGGGGGGAGTGTTCAGCTCCTTTGAAAAATTTATCCTTTCTGGTTGAGCGGTTTACTTACTGTGTTGTTGTTTTTTCTTGGGTGACTGGTTTTGTAGTGTTCCTTTTGGTTTGAGCAATTTAATTGTTGTAAAACAATTTCTTGTAAGATTTTAATAAGAAGTAGCTTTTAATAACATTGTGTTAGGAATTGTAAAAAGCACAAAATAAATCTCAGCATAGGGCTAGTTCCTCCCATATTAGGCTTGGGCTAGGCAATTAAGAAGAGGACATGTTGTGTTTCAAACAATAATTGTAGCATAGATTAACTGTAAAAATAATTATTAGTGTCTGCTCTGGGCTTCAAAACAATTGAAGCCAGGTGGTTTTAGAAAAATAGTGTTTTAGGCTGTCCTTTCAGAGTTCCATTGGAGTGCATCCCACGGACCCAGAGGATGCTGGAGGAACTAGAGGACAGACTGGGTGCTCCTTCTTGGGTTCCTACAGAGTCCAGCAGGCTTTCCAAGGAGAGGCAGGTGGAGAGACAAGATGTGGCTGAACAGGAAGAGACAGAGAAGCTCCCCAAGGTGCTACTATCTCAACCCCTTCTCCCTCAGACATCTGTTTCTGTCCCCTTAGACACCCAGTGTCTGCCCTGAGCTCCTCACAGGAGGCAGCTCTGGTGGTGCCAGCAGCTGTTAGCCAGCTTGGATGCCCCTACACTTCCACTGTCTGGAAGCACTTCCAGAGGACAGAGGATCCCCGTTTTGTGGAGTTCCAGATGTGTAGGGCCTGGATCAGTTGAAGGAGAGACCTGGGTCATCCCTCAACTACTGGCCTCAGGAATCATCTAAATAAGCAGCACCAGGCAGTGTTTCATCAGGGGAGAGAGAGGCTGGTGGGGTGGCTGTGCAGCTGCCAGCCAGCCAAGGGGGGAGTCATTTTGTGACCACCTCTGGTGCTCTGTCCTCCTGGTCTCCTGTAGGGAAGGGATGCCAAGCATCTCAGACTGAGATGTTTGGTGAGGTTGGCACTAGGGTGCCAAGGGGTGGGAAGCAGCAGGCAAGGAAAAGGGTAACTTGCTTTATTTGTGAGATGATCACTCTAGATGGCCAACCCTTTTCCATAGTAGATGTTGACTTATGGAGGCTGCTCCAGGATGCCTGCACTTGGTACGTAGTCCCTGCTTGTACCATGCCGAGCGAGATAACGGTTCCCTCCTTGTATAGGGCTGTCAGGGACTATGTGAAGACACAGTTGCCTTTGTTCACGGGAGAACTGTGCACTTCACATATGACATCTAGACCTGCCCTCAGGCACAGCATGTGTACCTATTGCTGATGGCGCACTGGTGGAAACCTGGGTGGGTGTGGGGAAACCAGTGTTATAGAGTGAGATGATGGGCCACTGGGCTGGCTACCATAAGGCTTCATTCCATGCTGATGTTCCTGATGACATGTACATGGCGGACAACATCTCTATTGCCATTAGGAGACAATTAGTGGAATGGGTAGTCAGGGACATCTCCACGGGCTTCATTGTGACTGATGGCCATGCCAACATTAGGGCGGTGGCACAGGTTGTGGGCCTCAGGTGCATTTACTGCATGCCCACCTTCTCCAGCTCTACTTATCTTCTTACATTCTTAAACAGGACAGCTTTCATTAGGAATTGTTCAAAATGCTTGCTGATTGTTTGTTCCCCAACATTTCCCACTCCTGGTGTTATGTTATTGCATTACTTTTGCACTTAATCCCCATTTTCACTTTTTCTTTCTACTTATGTATGTTTGATAAAGATCAAACACAGGTCAGTTCTAAAACTTTCTAAATTACTTTTCTAATATATTATGTAAAAAAGTATCTGATAAATTATACAATAAATTGGAAAGTGTATGTGTAAAGACCACTCTCTGTGTCCTGGGTAACAGTGGATATGAGTTGATGTAGCTACTTGGAGTACACTTCTAACACTGCTTCAATTCTAGTACTGCATCATACAATCCTTCTGTTGTAGCTGATGGTACACCCTGCTTTCAGGTGCTCAAGCTGAAACATCAAGTCTTCCCCCTCTTAGAATATCTATTCTCAAATATATTTATTTTACACTTATAAGAACCAAGATAGCTGCATAGCTTGATGCCAGAGCTACACATATTACTTTCCTGTCCTTAAGTATAATGCAATGAGAGAAATTAATTAATGTGAAAAAGGGTAAAATGGCAAGACTAATTTCCTTGTGATTGCAGAGCCATGGTGAATAAATCTGTTTCCCTATCAGTGTGTTTCCCATTTGGAATACAATGCAGCAGAATATAAAATGTTCCTTATCTATTTTTTGCTGATGAATCAACAATTCCTAAGTATTGTATATTTTATCGTTTCCCTCTTGAAGTAGTCATACTCATTAATGTCGGGCAGGACTGGTGTGTAGGTGCTAATGAAGGCATACATACTTGATAATTAGCAAAGTTCCTGTTAAATATGTATAAGCACTCAGCAAAAGAGTTCCAAGGTGAGACAGGAAGGCAATGTTTGATGTTACCTGGATTTGCTCGAATGGTACTTCAAAGCTGAAAGACTCATTGTAATAGGGATTCAGAGTATTCTTCTTAATTGTTGTCTTCTTCTTCTTCAGCCGTTTGCCATTCTGCATCAGATGGATTTTCACATAGGGATCTGAGCAATGACAAGAAAGAAAAAAACAGGTAGTTAGGAAATGGCATTCTGACTAAGGCAGTGAGTATTCTAATGAGGATAATCTTTGAGCCAAAAGAGGAAGGGGAGAAATGATATTTTGCATTGTTAACGAAGTCTAGAGTTACAAAAGATAAAAATTGGATAAAGTTGCAAAGGAATGGTTCAAATAATGAAGCTTTGCCAAACAACGACACATTCTAAAATTAATATTATGCAAACAGCCAGAGGAGTGTTTGTTGTTAATTTGCCTCTGCACTGAATTGCTTGCCTGTGTATAGATCTCTGAAGTCTCGCCGCTTGACAGGAAAGCTACTGGGTCACAAACTGCCTGCCTTGATTACTGAGTATGAATAATGTGCTTTCTGCTATTCAGGTTTGTTTTTCTCTTTTCTCTCACAAAACTCCAAGACACAATAATCTCAGTGGGTTATGTTCTTCCTCTTCTGTTTTTCTTCCAAAGATGGGTTCAAAGGCAACAGTGTCTACCGCACACACCAGAGAATGCTAATGACAGAAATGATCATATCTTCTGCATCCTTTATCTATGCCATAGAGACACTGAGTAGCACAAATGAACTGCCCTGTTTGCCACCTAATTTGGTTACAGGCACTAGTTAAGTCTTGGTCTAGACAAGCAGAACCATGTGATAGACATGGGCTGTGATCAGACATGCAGTTTGATCCATTGCTGTTGCTGTTCCCTTACAGATTTAAACTGTACAGTCAGACAGCAACATCTGTCTGTCGTGCCCCAGTCATCTGTGTCCCGTCTCCCCACCCCCACTTTAGTGCATGTTTATTTGATACCTGTGAAAGTCCAGTCCTTTTGGGCTGAGCTAGTTTCAAACCAGATTTCCTGTTGTCTGATCACTTTGTCGCGTACCCAAGCTATCACGCAGGTCTAACTGGTCTCTTGTTTTTCAGCTGCCATTTTTTTCTACTAGTTAGTGAAGTGCACACAACTGCATATTCACCTCTCTCTCCCCCCTCTCCCACAGGGGCTGCTCTAAATTTTGTTTTCTTCATAAAAACTTAAAAAGAAAGACACCCCTGTACTTCAGCTTTTGCCTGTACTTCGGGGAAGGGGTAAATTGAAAAGTTTAGGGAGGAAGACTATATGTTCCAGCAGGCTGATCAGTGCTTGTGTGCATGCCCAGAGGACAAACTTTTTAAAAATGGTTGATGGCCCCATGAATTACATATCCCAGGAGGCATATCAGCACTTGTGGGCATGCTCAAGGGAGAAAGTATTTTTAAAAAATGGCTGACAGCAACACTGGGTCTGATATGCATCTTTTTTTTTTCAAAAAAGGTTTTTATTTTCATTGTTCTCACCTTTTACATCTTTTTATCAGTCAGTTATATATCCCATTTTCCCTCCCTCCCCCAACTTCCCGCAATGCGTCTCCCTCATGTCTCACATAGATAGATAGATTTAAGATAACATCAAGTAATTAATATAGTTCTAGACAAAGTAAATTTTGTTTCACGACCCAGTTCTTTTCCAGATATATTTTGAAGTCCTTCCATTCTTCATAGAATTCTTGGTCCTCTTCATTGTTCAATTTTTTAGTTATTTTGTCAATTTCAGCCATGAACAGAACTTTTTGTATCCACCCCTCCAGATCTGGTATTTTTTCTTGTTTCCAGTATTGGGCATATATCATTCTTGCTGTTGTTATCAAATACCAGAACAGAGTCCTTTTTGTTATATTTAGTTCTTCCATTTTTAAACCTAAGAGCAGAATTTCAGGTGTCTTCTTAAAAGAACATTTTAGAATCTTTTGCATTTCACTGTGGATTTTGGTCCAAAAGTCTTTAGCTTTATCGCATGTCCACCACATGTGATAAAATGAGCCTTCATGTTTTTTACATTTCCAACATTTACTAGACATATTCTGGTTCATATTTGCTATTTTCTTAGGTGTCATGTACCATCTATACATCATTTTATAACAATTTTCTTTTACATTGGTACAAATAGACAGTTTCATAGAGTTTTTCCACAAATATGGGTCTGATATGCATCTGATCACTCAAGAATGGGGTAAAAGCTCTTTGAAGAGTGCTAAAAGGGGTGAGTCTGATCAGTATTCTCTGTTACAAAATACCCTGGATCAATTAGAAGTGGGGCAACAGCGAATTAAAATGCACGTCTCACCATAGCCATGAAGTGGCAGAGAGCTGAGGCAGTAGAGCTGACTGCACCACTTCAGACTGCAGGGGAACGATTATATTTTTCAACATTCCTCTAGACTAATAATTCCCTTTTAAGTAGAAAACTAGCGCAGCATGCAAAAGACTAAGATAAAAGTCCCCCCCATATGTTCTTTTTAATGTTTGCTGGGAGTTTTATGGGAGGACATTACAGATGTGCCCTTCCCTCACATCCAGCAGTACAATCCATTTTACCACCTCAGAATACTACACAACACAACAAACCTTTATTGGCATAACAACAGCAGCCTTTGGTACAAAAACGGCAAACAAGCAAAACAGTTAATTCAGTACCCCTTCTGCCAAAAAAAGGACTTCTCCTCCTATACGCTCTGTAAAGGAAGTTTGCCACCACTTCAGTGGTTTCGGCCCTGTTTGAGGCTAGAAGGTTCATTAACTTACTTTGCTCAGATTTGCCCTCCAGGGATCGTAGTATAGGGACGAGGTGATAAGCACGTAAATCCTGGTAAAATCTACAGGTCAGAAGTACATGGTCTGTTCCTTCAATCTCTTTTAGCCCACAGGGACATAACCTATCAGGGAATGGTATTTTTTTTTTAAATCTCCCATATAACACAGCTGATGGGGAGCATGTTAAAAAGGGCCAGCGTGAATACCCTTCTAATATAGGGATCGATCAGACAGGAAAAATACTCTGGAAGCAGCTTTATTGTAGAGGCTAAAGCATTTGAGTGTATCCCCC